TGACTTTAAAACATCACCACCACCATAAAACTTTTTCTGATGCTCCAAATACAGAAAAACATCCCTTACCAGGGTTTTTAGAATAAATAAAAAAATCTGAAAATAAGTTTAAATGTTAAATAATAGTTAACATCACTTAAATGCAACAGCAAATTCTCTCATTGCTACTGAACATTGTTGCTGTAATTGGGAAGTGATCTGTGCTGGGCCAAACTAGGAGAATATTAAGATTTTCTGAGGGAAAGAGAAAAACAATTGTCTACCTTTCAGATAAGGAACTGGCAAAAAACTACATGGAAAATATGTGAAAACGTTTGTTTTTAACCCCAAATTGAACAAGTTTACCTAGATCTTAAAAAGCAGCTCAGATGATGAAACTGCAACTATGATGCTGATAACAAGCTAACAAATTGAACTAGCTCCTCTTAAGATAAGCGGCTAGCAGAGCTTCTGACTGACAGTTTATGTGCAGCAGCAAATCAACTATCCTGATTAACAAGGTTATAAAAGCTCATAAATGAAAAATCACTTTGATGTGTGGGGGAACTTTTCCAGGCCCTTTTTAGCAGGGTGGGACTGGGAGGAGAGTGCTGTAGCCTTTTAGCTGGAAGCTAACCAGAGCCTGGGGCTAATGGTGGGTTGGTTCACCGGCACGTGTCGGAGTCAGCCCGGTAAAAATGATTAACGACACCGAGCGGAGTCACGTTCTTGTTTGAAAGCAGTGCTGAATGCAGAAACCTCGGCACAAAGTGCGTTCGTTGCTCTGAGCCAGCATGACGAAAACACTGTTGCTTTCCAAAAGGGTCTACGTAGGGGGCGGGCGTATTACGTGAACGGGACCATCTGATTGGCCGCATATCAGAAGGACTACATTTGATTGGTCAAATAATACTTACGCGTAAAAAACAAAGCTGGTTTACAAAAAGTTGATGTATGACACGGATGGAAATGTTTGAACCAAACATTTATCGCCGTTTTTGCCGTGTTTTGCGATGGGCCTATCGCATGTCCAGTTATCACGATGACGATAATTTTTCGTTATATTGTGCAGCCCTAGTAGGAATTAAGTTGTCCTCTGAGTCTGCACTCCGAGGGGATTGGAGAATAAACCATGAGCCGTGTAGAAGTGAAGGACACAGTGGTGGACAACAATCAAAAACACCTGTTTGATGAATGTGTATTTGCACAAAAATGTTGGGAGTATGACGAGGTTAGAGGGAAACAAACATAATGGACTTTCAACAGCTCCCAGTAACAGAGGTCAGGGCCGTGCGATCTGACATATAAGATCGTTAAGGATTATAAAGTGATGACGATCAACCAAAGCTTGGAGATCGTAGAACCGTCTATTTGCGTTCTATCACCTGTGCCGTTATTTCTGGTCATGTCTACTGGCACATTTCTTCTTAGCCGAGTCACGCTATTTGCTAGTCTGCTTCTGTCAGCATGACAGACACACCGAGAGCAAGTTTAATGTAGTGTGTGTGTTTGTTTGTTTAGCTGGGGGTGCTTGCATGGGCGTCGCACCCATGGTGGATGTGGGTGTTTTAGCAGCCACACTTTTTCTAATGAGGAGGTTAAACACACACTTTTCCCACGGTTTAGTAACACCATTGAGAAATGGTTTTGGGTGCTAAAATCAATTAACCTAAGAGGTATTAAAAGAAATCACAGAATTTTTCATGAAAAATAAGAGCAGATTGTATGAAAGGTGTTAAAAACTGCTGTGTCTCATTGGTCTGGCTTGGTAACACCAATGAGAAATTATCTTGTGTATTAAAGTCAATTCACCTAAGAGCTATTGAAAGAAATCACTGTATTTGTAATGAACACCCTAATAAAAGATCAAATCCTGTGAAATGTGATAAAAACTGCTGTGTCTCATTGATCTAGCTTAGTAAAACCACTGAGAAATGTTTTTGAGTATTAAAATCAATTAACTTAGGAGCTATTAGAAGAAATCACTTAATTTTTTTTATAAAATTCCTAATAAAAAAGATCAGATCTTGAAAAATGTGAAAACAAACTGCTGTGTCTTATTGGTCTGGCTAAGTAACACCATTGACGAATGGTTTTAGGTATTCAGACTGATTTACCTCAGAGCTACTGAAAAAATCTCGTCATTTTGAATAAAAATTATAATAAAAAAATATCAGATTCTGTGAAATGTGTTAAAACTGTTGTGTCTTGTAAATGTAGTTTAGTAACACAACTCAGAAGTAATTTAGAGTCATTTAGGCAATTATTCTGGAAGCTTTGAAATTTTTTTTTGTACTCGTTTACAAAGGACTACACATTTGTTGATCATCCCTAAGCAAACCACCATTCCCAACGTCCAACTTTAAGCTAACTTCACCACGGTCCATAAATGCAAACTAACTCTAAGCTTGGCTTATGGAGAGTGGACAGTTATTGGTCAAGATCTGTTCCAAAATGATAAATGATAAATGACCGACACTTGTATAGCACCTCTCAGAGTAAGGCCTCCAAAGCGCTTTACACTACAGCAGGAGTGGGGAACCCTGGTCCTCGAGAGCCGGTATCCTGCATGTCTTTGCTCCAGCACTTCTGATTCACCTGTTCAGCAGATCATCAAGCTCTGCAGGAGCCTGTTAATCACCTGCAGATTGAAATCAGGTGTGTTGAAGCAGGGTTGAAACCAAGCCCCTACAATGCGGCTCTAAAATTGAGTCAAACCCGGAAGTGAAATAAATTGCAGTTCCACCCTCATCCGCTGGGGGCTGGTGTCAGAAGCGAGCAAATCCTCATTGACTCCCATGTTAAAAATACCAATTTCACAGCAGAAATAAACATGTTTACAGCCTGGTACCAAAACATGTTTTTGGTTTAAATGATCTAGTTTACACTCGTGACAACTCTGAGGGGGGTGAATTTTTTTCTCACTCTTCTGTTTAAGTGTATTAAAAGCCTAAAATTCTGTATAATTAATGAGCATCAGACCCACGTGACCACAGAGCTAGCTCCGTGGAAAGGCCTCAGTAGAGCCTCGGTCTGGCTTGGAAACTGCTCCGGGATTTTGAGTCTCTGTGTTTGTGCATTCTTTTTTGGATATTATTTGTGCAATTGTTGGACAAAATGACTTGCTGTGGCATTAATTGCACTAATAGAGCGTCCAAGGAGTCTCCACTTCATTTTTTTCTGTAAATAAAATTATATTTATGTATTTTAGGTCACTGCCGAGCTGAGCTTAGATTTTAACATGTACTGTTTAACCATGAAATTTAAATGTAATAGGGTAAAACCCAGTGCATTTAACATAATGCTGCACTTTAGAAAATGGGTTGAAATACAACATGTTAGTGGAGCTGGGTTCCGACTATCGGCTTGTGGAGCTCTCGGGAGACCTCTGTTTTCCACCCGTTTCTCCCTTGGCTTCGCGGCTTCTGTTTGCTGCGCGGAATGCCGGCTGTTTCTCCCTGCAGCTCGGCGCATCTTTGTCTGATCGCGGCTTTTGTGTGATGCGCGGGCTGCCGGCTTGTGGAGCTCTGGGATGGAAACCTTTCCACCTGGTTCTCTCCAGCAGCAGCTCTGCGCATCTCAGATCGCAGCGGCGCTTGTCTGCTGTGCGGCTACCGGCTTGTGGAGCTCTCGGGAGACCTCTGTGTTCCACCCGGTTTTACTCAGCGGTCAGCCCGGTGTACCTCTGACTCAGAAGCTCTGGTGTTGTGCACAGTTAACTCCGGTTGTAGCTAGGTTGCTACCTCCGTTAACTTAGCTCCCACCTCCGCGTTAGCTTTGGGTTAGCTTCAGGTTAGCTTGTAGCTAGTTTGACCGGGTGTCGTCATTTGATCCTAGCCTTACAGCCCCACCCTCAGCTCCTCCTCTTTTCCCTTTTGTGGGATTGTCTGGGCTTGATGGAACCTGTGACACGGTCAAAATGGCGGTGGTGGCCACCTCCCATTTCTCCTCAAAAAGTTGTTATTGGAGTCTATGGAAAGGAGATGTCCAGTATATTTATGTCGATGGTTGAAACTAAAATATGCTGGATAGTGGCCTTCGATGGACCAGGGTTCCCCACCCCTGCACTACAGTGTATCATTCATCCATTCACACACACATTCACCCACTGATGGTGATGAGCTACGATGTAGCCACAGCTGCCCTGGGGCACACTCCGACCACAAGCAAGGCTGCTTCTGCCGGTGTCTTGCCCAAGGACACAACAGCAGAATTCTCTGTCCGGAGCCGGGATCGAACCTGCAACCTTCTAATTACTGGACAACCCGCTCAACCTGTTGAGCTACTGCTTGCTGCCCCATAATCTGATCAAAAGCATGTTTGGGTGAATTTCACAGGTCTTTAACAGAAAGTACCAACACTGCTAATATTTGCTTTTTGCAAAAACTAACTGTCGACAAAAGCCTTCAAATGAATAATTTCCAATTAATTACAATTTAGTACACTAACGAAATAGCTAATGTAAAGTTTTAAAACCACTGAAGCAAAAAGTGAGTTAGTTAACCGTATGTCACTGTCACTGTAAACTAATTATTTATAGAACTATTACTACTCATAGAAATACTATAAATCAACAAGTGTGGCTGTATTAGGCTAAATTCTCAGGAAAACTAGAAATTTACAGAATCCTGAAACAAATGTGTACATTTCCACCTTTAACGTTCATTATTTTTTTATTTTTCTGTAGGAAAATCAGTAAATGTGGTAAAAAGGGACAAAAGTTTGTTTTTATGGCAGTAAACAACTTTAGCCAAACTGTACTCGACAAGCTAACAGGCTAGGCTAGTGACCAATGGTCACTCCTGCCCTTCTCACGTAAACAAACCACAAACGGCTGAATAAATGTCACGCACACGCCTGGCTCGAGCATCCACGACCCCGTTTTTTCACCAAACAAGAGCAAAAAAAGGCAGGATAACTCTGTGGAAACGCTGTGTGTTCATTTAAAATCATGCTGCTCTGTGAGGTTAGCAAACACCTCAGCATCAGCTAGGACTCGCGCAGCTTTTTAATCTCCTTACCATCGTACAAATCGAGGCGAACTTTCGGACTGTCATCAGTATTTCCATCCGTTCCCCGCCATGTCGGACCAAACCCCGATGGTAAAATAATCAGAGCCGCTACGGCTGCAGAGTTCCGGGACACAGAGAGACCGCTGCTGCAGCTTTCGGTGTCGCTAAGTCACCGAGACGAACATTACATCCGGGTTTGATTTTCAAAATAAAATAAGGTTAGGTTCATTTAAAAATGCTTTGTAACATTGAGCTCAAAACAACTGCATCGTTAAGATTAGGATTAAAACTACAACAAATACTGAAAAGGAAGAAATAAGTTTAAAAAACTATATTTTACAAAGTAAATAAGATGTAACAAGAAAACAAATGGAAAGAAAAGAAAGAAAGAAAATTGTATTTTATGTAACACCTCTCAAAGCAAAAATCACAAAGCGCTTCACAAAAAATAATGTTAAAAAATAATATTTTTTAATTATTAAAAGATATGTTTAAAATGACAAAAAAAAACAAAATGTGATTAAAAATTAAAGAAAAGGGAGAGAGAAAATCAATAGGAATGAGGGACATCAGTAGATCAGTAGAAAGGCTGAATAGGTAGAAAGAACAGAATAAGAAGAGAGTTGTGATGAAGGTCACTCACAAAAGCCAGCTTAAACAGATGAGTTTTCAGCTGCATTTTAAAGGAGACTACTGAGTCCACTGATCTCAGGCTCAGGGGGAGAGAGTTCCAGAGTCTGGGGGCCACAGCAGCAAATGATCTGTCACCTTTGGTCTTTAGCCTGGTGCTGCACAACCAGTAGGCTTTGGTCACTGGACCTCAGGGACCTGCTGGGGGTGTAGGGACTAAGAAGATCACAAAAGTAAGATGGCACTTGTCCATGTCAGGCCCTATAGGCCAGAACCAGGATCTTGAAATGAACCCTGAAGTTGACTGGCAGCCAGTGAAGCTGGAGGAGAAGCGGGGTGATGTGGGTGTGTTTGGAGGACTTGGTCAGAAGCCGAGCACAGGCATTCTGAACCACCTGTAGACGGTTCAGGGAGGTTCTGCTCAGACACGTGACAAGAGAGTTGCAGTAGTCTAAGCGTGAGGAAATGTAGGTGTGGATAACTGTCTCAAGTTCAGAGCGGGACAGAATGGAAGAAGGAAGAGCAAACAAGACAACTGACATGAGAATCCAGGGTGAGGGCTGGGTCAAAGGTCACACCAAGATTCCTGATGGAAGGTTTGGTGTGGGAAGAAAGCTGACCAACTGTCCACTGCACCCACCCTAAGTATTTGGACCAAAAACTAAATTCTATCTATCGATCGATCGATCGATCGATCGATCGATCGATCGATCGATCTATCTATCTATCTATCTATCTATCTATCTATCTATCTATCTATCTATCTATCTATCTATCTATCTATCTATCTATCTATCTATCTATCTATCTATCTATCTATCTATCTATCTATCTATCTATCTATCTATCTATCTATCTATCTATCTACTGGTTTTATTATGAAGTATGACTTTTCTGTTTCCGGTCACTGTTGGTGTTTTTCCTGTTCGACTTGATAGTTTTCTGCCGTCCAACGGGGAGGTTATAAAGGGAGTGTCGCCGGCGAACAACTCGCTTGGTCTTATAGGTTGGTTTGATTCATTATGTTCAAGATCAGGACGGGCGGGCGGCGCTTGAGCATGGCAGGGTGACGTAAACAGCATACACACCTTTCAGTTTACAGGTAAACAATAACATTAAATACCAGTAAAACCATTGTCTATTTACGGAACTGAAATGCTTGTAATTGTTTGTTTGTATTTTAAATAAATGGCGATTTTTTTCAAATAAAAATAAAAATAAAGTAAAAGCATCACCTTAGCTGGTATATTCCTTGTAAACAAGAGAAATCATCTAGTAAACATATTATGGCGTCCCCCTTTCTCTATTGAATGTTACTGAGCAAAGTATTCAAATGGGTGATAAAACAAACACTGGTGAATATATGGTGTATCCAAGTACTCTAATGAGATAGCTCCATCTTTACAAGTTACTTCATCAGTATTTTTATACTGGGATACACGTGACTCACCAGTGTCCCAGCACCAGTTGAAACACCAGATCTGTACCTTGCCTCGGAGCCATCAACATATACATATATGGACAATGGGTTTCCATAGACTCCAATAACACGTTTTTGAGGAAAAATGGGAGGTGGCCACCACCGCCATTTTGACCGTGTCACAGGTTCCGTCAAGCCCAGGCAATTCCACAGAAGGGAAGAGCGGAGGAGCTGAGGGTGGGGCTGTAAGGCTGGGATCGACTGACGACACCCGGTCGAACTAGCTACAAGCTAACCTGAAGCTAACCCAAAGCTAACGCGGAGGTGGGAGCTAAGCTAATGGAGGTAGCAACCTAGCTACAACAGGAGTTAACTGTGCACAGCACCAGAGCTTCTGAGTCAGAGATACGCCGGGCTGACCGCTGGGTAAAACCGGGTGGAAAACAGAGGTCTCCCAAGAGCTTCACAAGCCATGCAGCCGCGCAGCAGACAAGTGCCGCTGCGATCAGAGATGCGCAGAGCTGCCGCTGGGGAGAACCGGGTGGAAAACATCGGTTTCCATCCCAGAGCTCGACAAGCCGGCAGCCCGCAGACAAGCGCAGCTGCGATCAGAGATGCGTAGAGCTGCCACTGGGGAGAACGGGTGGAAAACATTGGTTACCATCCGAGAGCTCCACAAGCCGGCAGCCCGCGCAGCAGACTAGCGCCGCGGCGATCAGAGATGCGGCGAGCTGCGGGGAGGCGGCACGCCACAATATCTAGGATCGGTTCTATCTTTTGCTGCAAGCCACTTCTGGAACACGTCAATTTTTGCAGATAACTTAGGATTAGGCAGGAAATCACACATGGTTTCAGTGTAAAGTCAGTGATAATTATCTAAATAAAAGTACTACAGCGATGCAGTTTCATATATAAGCTATGAAACTTAAACCCAACGGATAATTTCCTCCCAGCATCGTTCCAGAAGTGCAGCAGTGTGTTTTTCAAGGCTTTATTCCTGGCAGTGGAGAAAAACAACATCATATATGACATCAAACAGCTAGCAATAACAAAGGTGCTTTCCATCTTTTTGGTTTAATGGCGGATGACATAAACAAACTGTGACCTTTTAAGTCTCGAGGAATCTTGTAATCTTGCGAGTCCAGCGAAGAGCACAGTGAGGAAGCCGTACCGCGGCCAAGACTCTTCCGGTGTGAAAGGGACCAATTTGAAGTTCCCAAGTAAACTGTACCGCTGCCGTTTCGCACCGCAGATGTTTCCAGTGTGAAGCCGGGGTTATGTGTCAAGTAGAAAGCTGGAGTTACATGTGTGAAAAGTGTTTCACATTTGACATATTTGTTATTAGTATACAGCATTGACACATGTTTTACAGTTTTTCTCAGTTGCTTTGGTGCATTTCTCACAACAGTTAGTTCAACCTCCACAACATGTAGTCATTTTGGCACAACCTAGTGGCGGTTTCATGTGTCTTTGGACATGAAGCAGTTGAGTAAGTACAAAAGTCTAAAGAATGGTCACTTTTGACTTGCTATTCATCACTATTTCCTTGCTTTTATCATGAATGTCACAATTATTTATACTTGTACGGGCTGAATGGTCATTGTCCGTACAAGGCTTCATTTCATTGCTTGTGTCATCATTGCCCTCAAAATTGTTGAACATCTTGTCAAACACTTCGTACACCCATTTTGAAAACCCTATTTTTAAGGAGTTTCCATGGAAATCTCCATAAATTACTTTTCTCAGGTGAACCTTATCTCACACTAATGAAAAATGGTGTGTGTCCTGGTGACAATCGGACAATGTATGCAGTGGTTTGGGATAATGTTAGCTTCCATCACTGCTGTAGTCAGGCAGTGGTTTGCAGCACACGACAGGATGCTTTTGGAGTTTCTTCCTCCTTTCACTCCATTCCTAAATCCAATTGAGGAGATTTTCTCTTCCTGGAGGTGGAAGGTATATGACAGGCATCCACATAACCAAATGGTCCTGCTAGCAGCTATGGATGCAGCTTGTGATGACATCACAGCAGAGTCATGCAGAGGGTGGATTCGACACTCCAGAAGATTCTTTCCCCGATGCATCGATAGAGCTGACATTCCCTGTGATGTTGATGAAAATATGTGGGCAGACAGACGGGAGCGTCTAGATATCAATGATTGATATGCAGCAGTGTCTGTTCAGTTGTTTGTTTGTTTCACAGCTACTGCAGTAAGGTTTACTGTCTAGTGAGTTTATGTTTGCTGTAAAATGTTTGTTTTACTGTATTTCTCCAGTTGCACAATGCTGTGAACAGTTTCAGTTACAAAATATTATCAAGAGTGCATGTGAAGTGTCTTGATTTTCCTTTATAATTTATGGTTTTCTACATGCCGTGCATGCTGTCCAGACTTGACATGTCATTGGGAAGCACCTACAAAGAAATCCGTCACAATGAGAACTTGTTCAAACCATTTGATTTTGTGACCAAAGGTGCTGGTGTAATGACTTGTAATTGTGACAGCCCTGACACTTTGATTGATATAAGTTCTTGCTTTTGATGAAGATATTATCTGTTTTGATTAAGGGACTTGCTTTTGAAGCATTGACTACTTATTTTGAACGACTGACGTTTCTTTTTGATGAAGATCACTTTTGCAAGTTATCCACCATGTTTTGCAGTTTGCACTAATTGTTTTGAGAAGAGCCTTAGTAGTGGTGCAGAGATCAATTCTGTTGTGAGAAATGCACCAAAGCAACTGAGAAAAACTGTAAACGTCACGTGTTAAGGTAACATGTGTCACAAATACCTTTGTGTTTTGCAACTTAAGGTGGTTTAGGAGCATTTTCAATGTTTATATAATCGCAGTGAAGAAAATCATACAAAAATAAACTGATTTTTTTACTGTATAAATAATCACTTTCAACAATGCTAATTTAAAACAAGTCATAAAAATGGCTTATCAAACAAAATAAGAACATTTTTATGATAACATCGTCACCAATGGGCTTCCATACAAAAGTTAAACGTGATAAAAAAAAATCTCTAAATTAGAAGTTTTTGTCATCATCACGACCAGAATTATTAGTGCACGTGAACTGGCATGAACTCATGTTTTAATAAAACGTAATGTTGTGAATGACGGACGCATTCGGGATGCCAGGAAGTTGAGTTCAGCCTGATCCCGAGGGAATATTTAGAGGGGACGGATCAAAGTCCTCATCCCTCCCTCTCATCAGTCTTTCTGCTCCACGTCTGCCGCCAGAGGCTCCCGGGACCGCCACAACCCCATTATTTTAATATCTCATATGCGTAAAGGCAAACCAACAGGATATGGATTACTGGACCAGACATGGAAATTTAGAATCGTTTTTGCAATCGCTTTGTTTTTCTGGGAGTTAGTTCTTCATCACTACAGGAGTGTCACACGGAATAATACCCTTTTATAACTCTGGAACCGGGGTTTTGTTATTTCCCACATCAAGCGGAGCCGCCTGGGGAGCGCTAAATGCGGCTGACTGGCGACCCTTCATCGGGAAACATGAACAGCAGCGGGTCGGGTAACTTTCTGCTGGTGCCCATACCGGAGTACCCTCTGCTGGACTGCGTCCCCAACAAGACGGTGAAGATCGTGGTGCTGGGGGCCAGCAACGTAGGAAAGACCGGTATGGATCAGCAAGGAGTCCGAGAGTCACTGAGAAGTTGTGAGGGGCTAAAAGTGGGAAAATATGACTCAGTTTATTATTGAAACAAAAAAATCCCATAGTTAAAAATATCGTGTAAAATTAGGATCAAACGATTAGTAAAATGTGTCGTTTTTATTTAAAAAAAAAACTAAACCAACATATAAATACAATACCAATCAAAAACGGCAGGGGGCGACAAAACCCATGCATGTTTTAATTTTATTTCCGATCATTTTTATGCTAGATTAAATAAAGCCTACATTAAACCTTAATCAAGATAGGCATTAGTAAATTTTCAAAATTTACAAAATTATTTAGATAGATAGATAGATAGATGATAGATAGATAGATAGGTAGATAGATAGATAGATAGATAGATAGATAGATAGATAGATAGATAGATAGATAGATAGATAGATAGATAGATAGATAGATAGATAGATAGATAGATAGAGATAGAAATTTATCAGTGCTTCTAGTAAATTCAAATTTTAGAAGCTTTAAACTGACACATAGACAACTAGAAAATAATGTGAAAAAGGATCAGATAAAAGCAGCAGTATAACACCAGATCTTAAATAATTGGAAATATATGCTTTTGTATGTAGGGCTACGTTGTGTCTTCTTCTTCTTTAGTCATTTTGCAGTGAGAGCTGTGTAACACTTAAATATCTCATTCGTGGAATAATAAAGATTCTATTATATGAGACATAATGTGTATACAAGAAATTCTACAAGTTTATCTATGCAATAATTCAAGAAGTGGCAAGGGTGGTGGTTGAAGCAAAAACCTGGGCTTCGGGGTGGTTTTAGGAGACCATGGAAAAGGACTTCCATACGGCTTCATGGAGATTCTGGTCCACCATCCAGCATCCCAGGAAGGGAAAGCATTACAAATACTGTTTAAGGTGGGGATAGTGTGCTGCTGACCTTCACTTGAGATGTGGTGGGTCGGTAGGCAGAATACTTTGAAGACCTCAGTCCCACCGGCTCGTCTTCCAATGAGGAAGTGGAGCCATAGGTCTTTGGGATTGGTTCTTGAATCTATGGCAGTATAGGGCTGAGCTCACAAAGGTGGTAATTGTGTGGACATCAGGGGCCATTACGCTGGAATTGCAGCCCAGATTGGTGGTCCCCCTGTTTAAAAAAGGGGGTCACAGGGTGTGTTCCAACTCCAGGGGGTTCAGACTCCTGAGCCTCCCTGGTAAGGTCTATTCAGGGATTCTGGAGAGGCGCATCTGTCGGATTGTTGAATCTTGGATTCAGGAGGAGCAATGTGGTTTTCTTCCTAGCCGTGGAACACTGGACCAGCTCTATACCCATAGGGGGGACCTGAAGGGTGTGTGGGAGTTCGCCCAACCAATTTACATGTGTTTTGTGGATTTAGAGAAGGCCTTCAACCGCAATTCCTCAGGGGGCTCTGTGGGGTGTACTTTGGGAGTCTACAGTCCCAGGCCCCTTGATACAAGCCGTTTTTACAAAACAGTGACATCAATTTTTCGCAATGCCGTGGCGGCATCAGGGAGTCTTAGGTCGTTAAGAAGTGGTCAGACCGTGGTGCTAATTGGGCACAATCATGTCCTTTTTACAAAAGATTACACAATAGTGGTATAAAGGGGATAAGGGAGCGGTCTCTGCACTGCCGCGGACTTCCGTTTTGGACATAACCTGCTTGTTTTTGTGTTCAAAGCTGCACCCATTAAGTTTTTTTTTACAAGCCACTTTTAAAGATGTCTGTCCTCCCCATGCAGTCTGGTGATCTGAGCTCTAGCTCTAATGGAGAGAGTAGCTCCTGGGGCACTGCATTGTTCCAGTTTATCATCTCAGTAGGTTCTGCTTACACAAGCAAACTGATGGCCTGTGCAAGGGCGTCAGTTTGTTTTCAGAATTGCTGGGGACACTAACCATACACTTGAGTGGGGTTTAAAAATTGCTGGGGACAATATAGGCTAGCACAGGGGTCGGCGGCTCTGTAGCCGCATGCGGCTCTTCCAGCCATCTGATGCGGCTCTCTGTGCTCTTAAAATAATGAATTGATATTTAAATAAAAAGCTTTATATTTTACTGCATTAATTTTACATCTGTATGCTAATTCTAAATGTAAAGATTATCTGCGTAAACCTGAACAGTTCCGACCCGGTCTTACTGTGAGACCGGGTTGACGCGTCACGCTTGTGCGTAATCATATGCGCTTCCTGAGCTGGAGGATGTCAGATTCTGGGATTCTCCTCAGACGGCTCCTGGATGCGTCGCCACATTGGAAACAGGAACAAGCACTATTCAGCCAAAGTTTCATAATCAGGGAACATTTTCTTAGTGACAAGTCTCCGAGAGACAGGGTTTGGAAAACACTCGCTTCAGTGGGAGGAACCTTCCCGCATGCGCTCTGGTTCTGAGAGCCTGGATTTGTATTCTGAACAGTCTAAACATGTTTTTAAAAGAAACGTATGACAAAAGTGGCACCTGCTCAGTAAAACCACCAACAGGGTGAAAAATATCAAAATATTGTAGGCAGAGACGGGCTACAACTTCTGGATCATCTTTATATAAATCGTTTTATTGATTATCTTCTTATGAAAGATAACTTTGACGTACACGAGCGACCAGGCGCGTTGCAAGATTTTCAAAAGTGTGGGAGATGTTGTCTATGCCTAAAATAATTTGATGTTATTCACCTTGTTAGTTTAATTTCCATAATAGTTGAGCAGGTGCGAATTTTAGACGCGTCACGCATGTCTCCGTTTTAAACATGTTTAAACTGTTCAGAATACAAATCCAGGCTCTGTCTCGTTAGATTGGTGTAACTAAAGTTTGTACTGAATGAAACTTTACATTAAACCATGTTGAAAAGAAAAGGATCCGATTAAATCGTTTCCCCTCATTTACAGTCACGACGTACAGCGCAGTGCGCGTGGCTCTGGGGTTAATCAAGTTTAGTTGTTTCTCTTTGCAACAATCTTCACAAGAAGGCAAAACAGTTAAATGGCAGGTTACAGATATTTCCATTTGAATGTATTTTGATGGATAAACTCAAGGATGCTGGCTGTTTTGAAAGAATTACCCCGACGCACACTGATGCGCATGGATGAGCTTGGAAAAATGTTCTTTTTATGAAATTATGAAACTTTGGCTGAACAGCGCTTGTTCCCGTCTCTAATATGGACACGCATGACGCATCCAGTCTGAGGCAGAATAGCAGCGCAGAAAGCACCTGTAGAGACATTTGATCACGCACAAAGTTTATGTGGAGCAGAAGCGGTCGGGCCACGGCAGGTGAAACGTTCCTAGCCTACATGAAGGGAAACTGTTTAATTGTAACATTAATATGTTACTGGACATGCTGGTCTGGTTGGTTAGACCAGTGTTGGAAGTGGAAAACACACACACACACACACACACACACACACACACACACCAATTAAAATAATGCTGATAGCGTGGACTAGAAGACAGGTGATGGTTTTATTTAAATGATGATCAGGCTGCTGTAAAATGTAATCTCCATCCACATCCAGACGGAATGATCCTCTATTCTATTTGCTCTGCTCTTGTCTGGGCTGATGTAGCTGACGGTGCGCGCGGCGCGCCTAGCGGCTGATGCACATTTTACGCATTTGGAGAGATGGGCTGGATGCTTTGCGTTTACTGGAAGATGGTCCACTTAAAGCACGGGTGTAGACTACATATTAATGACAAATGAATGAAAATTAAATTGGGAGTTTTTACTTCATATTTTAGAAATAAAAAGGACGGGGGAACACATTCATGACGTATTTTTAAACGAAATTTTCTAGCGCGACCTGCCTGCTTCACTTAAGTCACTGCTTATTAAGGTCCGTCCAAAATTACAGTGGCCCACCCAAAAATGAAAACCTGGTGCCGCACCTATTATAAACCTCTGCAAATTGTTGTTCTTCACGTTATCAAACTCAGACTTTGTACAGCTAATGTCAAGATGTAAAATGATGAATTCAGTCGAGCTCTTCCGTCCCTCCCTCTCCTGCTCTCCTGGAAACCCGACATTGGCTGTCAGAAGCGGGAGGTGAAGAAGGAGATGAGGCAGACAGAGTGAGTGCGACATAAAGAAACCAGACTGGTGTGGAGGTGAGCAAAACAGCTGGAAAAGTGTGGGTGTTGAACCCCCCACGGGTGCGATGTCCATGCGAGCGACCGGTACCTGCTGCTGTCACCTGGTTGTGAGCAGCTCTCTGCTGTCTGAGGGTAGGCCCCGCCCACAACGCCGCGGCTGCTGCGGTGTTTTCTTTACTGTGGGAAATGGGTAATAATGGCTCTTTGATGGGAACAGGTTGCCGACCCCTGGTATAAGATCTGAGCTGGTAAAACAAAAATCCTCATCAGCAGGCTTTTTTGAAAGTGGGGGGGACACAGCTGCCAATCACAAATTTTGCCGGGGACATGTCCCCGGCGTCCCCGGTTAAAATGACGCCTATGGGCCTGTGTTTACTTTCATTTTCAATATAGTCGCCGGTCGGAGCTCGGAAGTAACTCCCCACGTGACCATGACACCTCTGTTGCACCAAGGTACAATCTGCATTCACATGTCCGGCGTTGCGGTAATATTACTACAAAGTGCGCTGGCACAAATGCTGCAAAATTCCTGCAACGCCATGCCGGCATGGCACGTTTATAAGACACACTGTTGCAGTAATATTACGTTTGATTTGAAGGCACAGTGTGCTTGTAAAACGGGCTACAGGCTGTTAGGTCCTTATATGACCTGTGCCAGAGCTTAGTCCACATTGCCGGCAGTAAGTCAGGCTCATTCCCGGTGAGAGCTGGACTCTGCCAAGGCTGCCGATTCTGTTCATAACTTGTATGGACAGGAATTATAGGAGCAGCTAAGGTGTTGAGGGGATCTGTATTGGTGGCCTGGGGATCAGGTCTCTGCTTTTTGCGGGTGTTGTACCGATTTGTTGTGGGGAAGGGAGAGTTGAGCCAGAAGGTGAAGCTCTTGATTTACCGGTCGATCTACAAAGCTCAGTAATCCGGGAGGGGCTGAAAGTAGATCTGCTGCTCCTCCACATCAAGAGGAGCCAGTTGAGGTGGGTTGGACACCTGGTTAGGATACTTCATGGATGCCTCCCTGGTGAGGTTTTCAGGGCACTTCCAACTGGGAGGAGAACCAAAGGGAGACCCAGGACACGCTGGAGAGACTATGTTTTTACATTTTTTGTTTTTGTGGAGCGCCTTGTGATTTTTATCTTGAGAGGTGCTATAGAAATTATACTTTCTTCTTCTTCTTCTTCTTCTTCTTCTTCTTCTTCTTCTTCTTCTTCTTCTTCTTCTTCTTCTATGTCTCTCAACTGGCCAGGGAAATTTGGGATTCCCCTTGAGGAGCTGGCCCATGTGGCTGGGCAGAGGAAGTCTGGGCCTCCCTGCTTGGGCTGTTGCCCTCGCGTCCCGACTCTGGATAAGCGGCTGAAAATAGATGGATAGATGATTCAAAAAGCCATTGTTAGGGTGTTTTGTGCTATATTTGTCAGATTATTCATATTATCTATGTAGTTATTAGTTAGAAGTTTTTCATGTAGCTCTTTTAGTTCATTCATTGGCTAATGTTCATAAAACCATTATACAAGGAAACAATATATTTTATTATGAAGCTGTATAACAGCAATATAAAATTGGCCCTTACTTCCTGCAGATCCTCCACCAGAAGAACGTGTAGGATGGGTTTATTGAGGAACACACTAATCCTGTTAGAGAGGTTGAGGTCATAAATGTTATTTGAGATGATGTAATTGAATCTTCAAATATCAATCATTCCAGTTATCTAACCAAATAAACATACTGACGTGTTATTGAGACAGTCCCCCTCAGCAAAGAAAGCCAGTTGGAATGAATGCAAAAAAGCTCTCCACAGCTTCCATCCAGGATTTCAAAACTATTTAATCATTTTGTTTAATCGCTGGAATTATAAACTATTGTCACACTGGTTAGACTAAACACATGAGCCAACAGAGCAAAAGTGAGTAAACTGGATCACAAGTGGCCTTTATTATGTCTGACTGGAAATAAGTGAAGAATTCATAATTAATCACAAACGTTGGGGCAGGAATTTAAGATTCACTAGCCTTTCAATGGTTGTTAAAATGTATAGATACTTTTCTCATTTCCAGCTCTGATGAAGAATTTTGTTAATATTTTGTAGCTTTGATTGTCAGATTTCTGACGAAGAGGTTCATTGGGGATTACGAAGCAAACACAGGTGAGTTTCTTCAGTTTTCTGCATCTTTCTCCTGCAAACACCTTTGCTGTTGCAGGAAGGAACAAAACACTGTTGACTGGTTCATCTCTACAGGAGCGCTCTACTCCAGAAAGGTCACTCTGGATGGGGAGGAAGTGTCGCTTCAGATTCAGGACACGCCCTGTGTGGCTCTTCAGGTAACCCATGGAAACAGAGTCACTAGCTGTGGTTCCGAACTGGTTTGGTCACACCTCTTTGGTCTCTCATGGACGAAAGCACCTTTTCTTCAATTGTTTTTAGGACATGTTAGTTCATCCTTCCTGCTTTTTAAAGCTGAGGTACATAGATTAAATGTGTAAAAATGGACTATCTGACCCTGTGCTCTGATATAAGACTAATGATTTATAATTAAAATTTCTCCTAATTCCCTCCCTTGGCCTCTACAGCATAATGAATCATTCACACAAGCCAATAGCATTTGACAAATAGATTTGTGAATTGAGCTGTCAACCAACAAGGATGCGTCCCAGTTCCAAGCATGCACTTCGGGGTTAAGCACAGTTAGCTTAGCACACCAACCTAGCTTGAATGCTAACTCCATCTATCTTGTATTAATGTCAGTCTGTAAACTATATGGAAGAGGGAGGGAAATGAAAAGGGATTTGTCTTTTGTGTGTGTTAGCGCTAAGTGATTAGTGTAAGGTCAGCCTAACGCCAGTCAGACCATCTTGTTACATTAGCTGGGTTGTGCTAGCATCACAATTGCCAGATTCCTGTCGGTGTTATTTGTTTCTCCCTTGGGCACTGCAGATTTGATTAAAATGAGTATTTAGCAGCTCCTGCAGAACCCACTGAAGCCTGAGGAGATAATCAACAGTTAGAATAAGGTGTGTATGAGAAGGGACATACTCGTCCAGTAGCACTTCAAGGGTATTTGTTTGCGCATTAATTGTCTGAGGCCTAGCATTCAGCTCCTTTCTGAAGGGGGAGCAGGGATGAGAGGTACAGTCATTCAAATTTCAAAATCCCGTTCTGCTTATGCTACGGACCCCAGCTTTAAATCACTTCAGACTCCTCAGACTTCAGTTAACTCCATGAGAGAATACAACGCTGATGGTCGTTTTTTGCCGCTGTAGTTTCTGGATCTGCTCGAGGTCCTGCGCCTGCTGATGACGTCATCACACTACGGCAATACCGCTCAGCCAAAGTATATTGCATCTCTTTTTTGATTCTGTTCTTTCACATAGGTTTTGGAAAGAGTTAAGCAGTTTTGTTATTAAATTCGTGTTTCTTACTGCCTAAATATTTTTGAACGTAGTAACGTAACTTCCATAAGTCCTTAGCACCACCTTACATATCCGAGTTACTCACACCTTATGTGCCTGGTGGGACTCTCCGTTCAGGTGACCTACACCTACTACAGATTCCCCGTCAACGCTGCAAAACCGGTGGTGAACGAGCTTTTTCTGTCTGCGCTCCGAAACTCTGGAATGATCTCCGGTTGAATATCAGACTCTCCCCCTCCACTGGGGGTTTTTAAGTCTCACTTAAAGACTTACTTTTATTCCCTTGCTTTTACTGCCTAGCTATTTTATCTAGGTTTATTTACACTGTTCTTTTACTGATTTTATTGACTTCGCTTGTTTGGTTCTCTGTGCTATGCTCTAGCTGTTTTATTCTTTTATATTATTCTTCTAACCTTATATGTTTTTACCCCTGTACAGCACTTTGGTCAGCTCACATGCTGTTTTTAAATGTGCTTTATCAAATAAATGGAAATGGAAATGGAAAAAGTCGTACATCCAGCCAATCACCTAGTGTGACGTCATCGACGTGCACAGGGCCCCAAACTGGTCAGAAGGAAACATGGTGTCCTCCAAAGATGCTAGACCCGTGTCCTATGTACTTAAGGCCCAATTGTGATGGTTATATTTTATGAAGCCGCAAATATTTTTCAACGACTGGACATCATTTTATTCATTTTCAACAACATTTTGATTGATATTCCCAGGGATTAGGTGTAAAAATACGCATTGTCTCTGAAGATCCTCAGTTTGGAGTAACTGAGATTAGCTTTGGCTGGATTGACAAGCTGACAGCTAGTCCCATTGGGGCTAGTTCCAAATTAGATTACTGGATACTAAAAGCAACTCTGCTGGAACTAAAAGCATTAAAGTATTGCAATTTTTTTGTCCTTTCTGATTGTTTATGGTGGAATATAACAGAAAAGAAGGAAAAGAGGTGGGCTAGCTGTCTGTACCGCCCCTAGTTCATAGTGACAAAGAAAGGCCGGGAGCCATTTGTGGCCCTCTGAGTGGCTTTATGTAGCCCCCACTAGTGATTATAGAAAGGTGGAAATCTGTATCTGCTGCTAATGTGGACCAGCTACTTGTATAAGGTTTTTACTACTAAACTTATTCTAGGCTTATTTTGGAATAGTGTAAATTAAATCCCCATTAAATTATTTTTGCATTTTTTTAAATGAAATAAAAAATGACATCATTGTGGCCCGACGTTGAACTAGACAATTTCGATCCTTGTCTGATGTTTAGGATGCATACCCATTGAGACTAGTCGTTAGCATGTCATTCTGGTCTGAACTGAGCTCTTTGTCTAAACTGAGGCCCTTCAAAGAACCTTCGACAGGTGAAAATTTTAACTGTTCACAACTTTTCCACAGAAACCTGCGTGTAAAAACAGTCAGTCAAACTGGTTATTAGCTGTTCGAGCATGTATGTTTTTGGTCACAAACCACCGGTATACCGTAAGTGTTCATGTCTCTGTGTGTTTGTAGGATGATGCTGAAGGCCTCTACTGCCAGGAGCAGATCAACAGGTCTGGCTGAAACCACAAGAGTATCAGTCTTTAAAATCAATGTTTTTAGCTAATTAATTTTTTTAATTAATGCTTATTCCAGATCAATCTACTGGGCAGATGGGTATGTTTTGGTTTTCTCCATCACAGACAACAGTAGCTACCGAACAATCCAGCCTCTATACCAGCACATCAGACGAATACACCCTTCTGGAAACATACCAGTTATACTGGTCAGTAAGTTCATTTATATGAACGGTAACAACAGCAATAATTTATGATGTAAAGGTCAGCATTCTTAGAATGACTTTTTTTTAGCTCATTAAAGTTGTAGCATAAATGTTTACAGAGTAGGCTGGAGCCCAACTAACTATAATCCTGTAATCTAATCCGTGTTATAATCTGTAATCTGCTGCAGGTTGGAAACAAGAGTGACCTGCTTCGAGCCAGGCAAGTGCCTGTTGACGAAGGCGAGACGTTAGCTACTTCGCTAGGTGGGAAAACCTCCTGCTTCTTCTTCTTTGTTTTTTATATGACAGATGTGTTGAATTTTAAACTCAAATCCAGTTAAAAATGGAAATGGGCCAACTTTAGTTTTCTGAAGCACGGTTCTGTGGAAACACCTCATACTTCACCTTTTTTAGACAGCTCTCTGAACAACCTCAATTTGGAGAAACAGAGATCAGTTCTGACTAGCGGAATGAGCTAATGGCTAGCCTGATTGTGGCCAGTTCCAAAGTGTTTCTGCTGTCTGACACTTAAATATTCAAAAATTCACAGTTCGTCTTCATATTATTTAATCAGTGATCCTCTGAATTTACCAAAGTCAAATTCAAGCACTTTCAATATGAGTTTTCAAGGTTTTCCAGCACCTGACATTGATAGCGGTTAACACACATGAACATTACCATATATGCTAAATTAAAATAATTGTCTCTTGAAGTTGAACACTTTAAACATGTTTAAGCCCTTGAGCAAAAAATTCAAGCACTTTCAAAACCTTGAATATACCCCAATAAAATTCAAGCATTTTCAAGGGCTTTGATAATCTGCTAAAACCCTGTTTTAGGAACTTTTGCACCACCACGATTTTTCATAACCTTATTTAAATAGAATTCTATGGTCATCGGCAGCAGCAGAGGTTCTTTGTTCAGTCACAGCTGATCTCTGTTTCTCAATACTGAGGCTGTTCAAAGATATTTAGGGACAGAGTCTTCGGGAGAGATTTCAGCTGTTCATAAATTCCTACTTTAAATGATATGAACCAAGAGGCATCCTCTGAATCAGCTTTATTTGCTGCTAGCTTGTTGAAACTCTCCGTTATCCAATACAAAATCTCACAAACTATTTGTGCAAACGTTCATGGTTCACAGGAGATAACGAGCCCCTCACTTCCTGTCTCGTTGTCGTTCTAAAACTGGATTCAAAATTTCCTTTTAGTATGGACTAGAAAAAAAAATAAAACCAACAACCTCGACAGACTTTAATCACAAACAACCACATTTAAGAAACAAAAAGAAAGACAAGAAATATGAAGTGTTTCCTGCTAATGAGAGAGGTATGCTAAGTGTTATCAGGAGAATGAGAGAGGTCCTGATCTGAATTTGTCTCTGATCACAGGAGGAGTTTACTTTGAGGCCTCGGCTAGAGAGAACCACGAGGGAGTCCATGCCGCCTTCATACATCTCTGTCAGGAGGTGGGACCTTATCTTTTTGTCTGTGGGTCGGAAATGTTTGATAGATGAGGGCTCAGGAGAACAAAACACATCCTATTTAGCCACCAGGGTGTTTTAATCTGTTGGTCCTATTGGGGACTCTGTGTTCTTTGTGAATTTAACTGCACAGAAAGTCCACATTTACCACATGTATGGCCTCAAGGGGAAACCAGCATCCACTCTTTCTCTAATGAAGTCAGAGTTTTTGCCCAGACGGAGAATAGTTTCATAATCTACAGCTGTGCTGAACATCTGGATAACTTGTTTTCAGCCCACCAACCCAGCAGCTGGTTTGTCAACACAAGCATATTTTAACACCTGCACTGATAAATATTAGTTTTATATTATCAATATGAATGCATAATAAAGCAACCATCAGTTTTAAAGCATAAAAATATTAACCCTGGAAATATTTTTTATTTGGGAGAGGGCAATGTGAAGATGGTTTTACAGGATCCTGACTTTGCGGGCTGCTTCATGGCAGCCATGTCCCCGTGTCTTGCACGTTCCCAAGTTTGTTTGCAAAAGAGGATCACAGATAATATTTCCAATCGGACCATTTGGTGGTCTGACTGGTGAAATAGTGCTGAAAAGTAACTTTGTGTTTGAATTTATATTATATTTCATTCAGCAGTGAAATTAGTTGATGTGGAATACACGGGAGCATTTTCAAGAATGTTCTTTTAAAAATGTAACCAAAAGGTTACTTTTAACAGTAATGCATTACTTTTTGGTATAAGTAACCTTAAGGTAACTGAGATACTTTTTGAATATGTTAACTATTAACTGTAACTAGTTACTCATTTATTAGCTTTTACAACACTTCAGTTTGACTGAACCACTGTGAGTTGTTTCAAAATGACAGAAATCCACTTTGTAACTGGTCTCAATTTGACTAGCCATTAGCTTGTCAATCTGTACAGAACCAATCACTATTTCTCCAAACTGAGGCTATTCAAAAAGCAAAGTACAATGGGTGAGATTGCAACCGTTTCTTAGGAATGTACTTAAATATTTTGATACATATTTAAAAACTCTCCGTCCACCAGGTGATACGGGCGTTAGGAGGAGGAAACGGAGAGAAAAGAAGAGGGGGTCTCCACCTGGCCAGACCCAAATCTCCTAACATGCAAGAGCTGAAGAGGAGGTTCAGGCAAGTCCTCTCCTCCAAAGGGAAGTCCGCCACGACTATCTGACTGCAACTAGGGACAAAACACGTCCACACGCAAGAGACAGAGACGAGAGAGGAGCAGTCTTCTGCAGAAATGAAGGGTTGAAGGAGAAATCTCAGCAGGAGGTAACAAGGAGCAGTGACCTCTCGGTTCTGGAGCTGTTCATGAAGCCAGCCGAGGCTTTCTGAGGAGATCAAAGAGTCCTCAGATGGACGTGTGACTAAAGGAGGAGCCTGAACTGAGCAGGACTCACGGTCAGCTGGAGCTCCTATCAGCACAGAACTCAACATGCACATGCCAAAAACAGTTCATGTCTGGCTTTTAGAGCATGATAATTACTCATTTTTTAAAATAAATCATCAAAAATTATAATTAAACTCGGTAGTTTCATGAGTTCCATCTTTAACCATATGCTTCTCATCTCATTTTCTGTTTGCTTTTCAAAATAAACTTGAAAGATGTTTGATTTTATACAATTTACAATATTCTGCACTCGGGAATTTCGTTTTTTTTTTTTTTTTTTCAAAAACCAAATAAAGAATTTGTTTTTCAGTTCTTTCTGGTGACAAAGTGTTTTAAACCAAAAACAGGAAATGACCCCAAAAAGCAAGCTAACATTTGACCCCAGGAAGGAAATCCTGTCACTAATATAACCCAAGCACAACTTCCTGGTATTTATAGATGATCCGATGAATACAGACAAACAGGTTTGGAAATGAAGAAGAAATGCTATTGCGTCATGGCAACAAGCGCTGCTTTATAATATGGTAAAAAAAAAAGCTAAAATAAATGTAAAAGATAACATTGGCTTTATTTTGACAGCGGGTTTGCTAATTAGCATTTTTAGACCTAATAATTTGTGTTTTTATGAGCTTTGTCCTCTGCCACCTTCTGTTTGAGGCAAAATAATCTGTGATGCAAAGCATCATCGGATATCTAGCGAGCCCAAGTTCACAGAGGGATGCACTGATGCATCCTCAATACAATGTTTGGAACAAGAACACATCCAGGAACTTAGAGTGTATTTGCCATGATGCATACTTAGGATCAGAGCAGTACTTAGGCCACTGTTAATTACGTACGCGTGTACAAGTACACATATTGAGAAAATGTCTGGAAGATGTATAAAAGTTCCTCAATAGCTACAATTTCTGTTCAACGGCTATTAAAAAGCAAATGTTTCGCACAATGTGGAAGATTAGGAAGTAGCTGCGTGTTAATTATCCATGTAATGATTCAGAAACCTGTGGGAATTAACCGAATACAGTGTGTTCTCTGTGATAGTCGCTGAGAGAATTTAAAAAGAGTTTATGTGTGTTTTGTTTTGTGGTGTGTGTGTGTGTGTGTGTGTGTGTGTGCGTTTCCTGCTGTTCTCATGACCTCTGCACTCACTCAAACACACAAAATTCCCAGTTAAAGACAAATTCCTCAGCATCTGGAGTTTCTCTCTGGGTCACTGAACCACTATTTTGAGTCACTGACAGACACACACACACACACACACACACGCACGCACATACAAATAAATGTGCACTGACCCCAACCCGTAACCTGTTGACCTTTGACCTTTGAAAGCAGTGGGGCTCCATCACAGGAAGAAGCAGCCGATGTCAGAGCCCAAGTCACAGTCTGACGAATGCCAACAGAACATGTTTACATTATTGTGAGAATCAAGCCCACTTCTTGCACATAAAAGGGAACTTTTTACATTTTATTATTACTTTTATTCAGAATTTTAGGTGAAACACAAGATAAATAAATAATAAAATAGTACAAGCATGTTTTGCGTAGTTATATGGGGGTTCTCAAAGTTTCTCGTCTTTTCTCTGGAGTTTGCGTTCCTGACTTCCTGTGGGCCAATGGGCTTTTGTGTTCTCTACGTTCTCAGATGAACAAAGAAAAAAAGGTCTGCCCTTTTACCTCAAAGCCATTTATCCGATACCGCAGATGGCATTTACATGACAGATGAAGACTTAACATGACATTCATGAGGTCACGTTTATAAAAGTTCACCTCGTCTAAGTGTTGCCTTTTTTGGTGAAGGCCAGTGGGAAGCGTGGCGTGGAGCTGATATCAAATGGGATCTCAGATGAGCTCACACACATTGATGCTACAATTCCTTTTGTGATTTTCATATAAACAGATGTCTAGGGCTGAAAAGGTTTACGTGTTTTAACCAATTAATCACTTAACAAATACTTGATTATATTTGTTTTAAAAAGATGTTGCTTGTTGGCTCTGAATGCACAGGCAACCCCTGGGTCACAGCAGGGCTGAGATCCTCATCAATAATGGTCGGGCTGAAAATATTCTCATGTTTTAACCAATGAGATAAACTAGGGCTGGTACTTTATAAGAACCGGAGAGTGTGACTGACCTTTTACAAAAGACATGTTCTTATTGAATGTCTTCCAGATGGAGGAGTTTTATGTCTGACACCTCTGAGATTAAAATATCGCCTAAATGCAAACACACCGTTGATGAACGCCAGCCACTGCCTCAAAATATCAGCAGAGGCTTCGACGGGCAACGTGTGGGAGATTAACAAAAGCAGGAAAAGTAAACACATGCCATAACAAAGAGAATAGCCACATGCTACATGCTAGTTAATACCATGGAGGACTTTTCTCTGAGGAGCCTGTGGTATATTGAGAGAACGAAATGTTTACCATTGAACAAAATGGAGACCTGTATGGTGGCTCAGCTGTAGCTTGGTAGCAAGAAGGACGCAAGTTCAGATTCTGGGTTTTCTGTGCAGAGTTAGCATGTTTCAGTGCAGGTGTGGGTTTTCTCTGGCTACACAGTTTCATCCAACAGACCAAAATCATGCATGCTAGGCTACAGGTGAGAGAATAAATGATTGTTTGTCTCTATGTGTCCCTGTGATGAACTGGTAACCCGTTCAGGGTGTCCTCTGCAACACGACGATGCAACCCTACTGAGGATAACCCTAAACCTATACAGATGAGTGAGTAAAAGTGCTAGCTCCTTCGCCAATGTCATCTGCAAAAACTCAAAGAAATCTTTACATAAGCATTCACTGTAAAATTAACAGTAGTGTAAATATTTATAAAACTGCCATGACATTTTGGACATTGAAGATGTTTTAAAGAACTTTGTTCTTGGCCTTGTTAGGGCTAGCCATTTGCTCAGAACTAATCTCCATTGGTCCAGATTAACCCCTTCTTTCCACCGCAGCCGTCAGCAGCACGTTACTGCAGCAGCACGTCTTGCTCGCGTAAACTGCTGCTTGGCTCTTCCCACGAGACGCGAAGCAGCAGGGGAGTAGCTGTCACCGACAGAGCACGAAGTCACACGAGTGACTTCGTCAGTAAACACAACAACAAGCAGGAGAAAATTACAACATGGCTCCAAAAGGTTTGTGTTTTATGTTTTGTCCGTTTTATAATCGCTAATACGGACCTGAAAAACAAAGGAGACCGCTAGCTAGGTGATAACTTCTCACGGGGCCGCACAGTTAGTAACTTCTTTTAAAAGTAAAGCAACCGGAAGGCAATGTGTTTCTTTATTCTGAAAATCTCGGGAGCTTCGTTCCGTTTCGCATCCGATCTCCTGTCTTTCCTTCCCCAAAAATGTCGAACTTGAGCCGTTTCAGAGGCGTCGCGCGTAGAAAATAGAACCGGCGCGTAAAGGCCGCGACATGATGCTCCTGAGACGCGGCCGACTCGTTCTGCTGACGGCTCCGGTGGAAAAGGTTCTGTTGACCACAGCGGTTCCTATCAGCAGCTGTGACGTGCTGCTGCAGTAACGTGCTGCTGACGGCTCCCGTGGAAAGAAGGGGTAAGGCTCATGACAGTGCTATCTACAGGTAAAACGAATTGCTTGTAACTTTTCAGCAGAAACCTGCTTCAAAAGAACTGATCCACAGCTTTAATGTGATGCAGATTGCTATTATAGTAGAAAGCAGGCGTGGCAGCTAAGATTAATGAGATTAGCTTATCAACAGCTTACGCACCACCAAGTGAAGATAAATGTGGGTGTTCTTGGTTCCATTGGCCACTTTGGGAAAGCACTTCATCAACAGCTGGATGACTTAAACCAGCTGTGTGTACATACATGTGGGTGTGTGTTTCTGTGTTATCCACTGGAGGCGACAGGAAGCTGAGGTCACGTCTGGGATGGTATTATGACCCTTGAACACCAAAAAGAGCAAGACATAAAAACACTGAATTAGAGGAGAATGATTAGAGTCCAGATTCAGCGTTGTTGTTCTTATTTCTGATTAAAGTAAAGAGTGCACTGATTTAAATCTACAAGCAGTTCTCAAAACCACAGAAACCTTAAGAATTCAGAAGTTTCAATTGTGTTTGAAATGTGAGATTTTCACTTCAGTTTAAATCCATAAACTTAAGAAAGGAGAATCAACCCAACATAATGTGTGCTTTTAGTATCAGGTCTGACCCTCCCTGAGCACCAAGCACTGAAATAATATTTCCTGTAACAGCTGATCCATCCAACACATCAGTTTGAAGGAATGTCTGCTCATTACCGTCCACAAAACACTTTATGCTCCAACATGTTGGGATTTGTGAGTGTTTCGCTTCAGGCTCATCCAGACGGTTTTCTTACTACATTGCCCTTGTGCTAAGTTCCAGTTCAGGACTATGGCTACTCTGACACTTTAAAAATATAATCTACAGGGTTTTTCCTGGCTCAAATTGAGGCAGAGGTGGTACCAAGCTGACCATGCGCCAGCACATGCATACTCTGTGCATTCAACTGCCTCACTTTTTTAAAGGCAAAATATTATAAAAGGCTCAATGATATGCATTAGATTTGTGTTTAGTTCCCTTTTTCCCTCAGATATTTATAGTAAAAATATTTTAAAATTTTTGACCTAAATTTCAGTAACATTTTAGGTTTATGTGACCTATGTTTTTGGTGACTTCTTTTAATCGTAAAGGAATCAAGCTGGAGACTGCTCAGCTGTGGCACCAGTCAATTTATTCATCCATCTGCAATCATGGAAGACAACAAAGGGTTATCAGTGGTCTCTGAGACATAAAATGCTCTTAGTCTCAGCAGTGATCCTCGCACCTCTGAGAATTACCAAATTATTCTATCTTCAATAGCAGTCATTGTGATCGTATAGTGGATTTTTACAATTCACAAAGAGAGGACAAACAAAATAATTCCACAGAGGAAGCAAAAAGAAAGATAAAGTAAAATAAAATACCAAGAAAATAAAATTATATGAGTGTAATTGACTGGTTGCTACTTTGTACAATTTACAAATACGATAGAAATATATGAGTTATTTATCTTAAAAGTGTGCTCCAAAAAATAATGAAGCTAACCGACTGGCAACGAAAACAAAGGGCTACATGATACACATACCTGCATTCATGGAAGACAACAAAGGGTTAACAGTGGTCTCTGAGACATAACATGCTCCTCAGCAGCGACCCTCGTAGCTCTGAGGATTACCCATGATGCTTCACTCTTTATAAAGGATACAGTTACACTTTTTAAAAGCATATGGCACCTTTTAGCAGGATTT